CCCTCCAAATCGCAAACCGCAAAACCACGAGATAGAGCAAGGAGTCAATCGATTTGGAAAGAGAGAGAAGGAAAAAAAGAAGGGAAAAATAAAGAAAAAGAAGGAAAAAAATAAGAAAAGAAAAAAAAAAATTAGGGAAAGAAAGAGTCCCCTTCGCATTCCCATATTCTTCCCAAACCCAACCTATCCAGCTTCTTCCCAGGCCGCCACCCCTCGAAACCCAACCCAGCCCAGCCGAGCCGAGCCGAGCCGAGCCGAGCCGAGCTCACGCCCGTGGATTCCAAGCGTAGGTAAACAGCGACTACTTATTTCGAGCTTCGAGCTTCAAGCTTCGAGCTTCAACTTTCAACTGTCAGATGAGTACCTACCTACCTACCTACGTACCTACCTCCCTACCTACCTACCTATCCATCTACCCCAGACCCAGATCCAGATCCAAACCAGATCCAGACCCCGTACCGTACCGTACCGTACCCGGACCAGATCCCAAGACCCAGCAGATCCAGATCCAGATCCAGATCCAGATCGTACTATACCATACAATAGTACACCGTCAATCAGATCAACCCAAGCAATCAATTCAACTCAAGCAATAAAATAAAAGGAGAGAAGAACGAGATGAGAAAAAAAAAATGAAATAAAAATAAAATACGCATATGCATACACATATACACATATACATATATACAACAAACAAGCGAAGCCAGGTACACTTAGTCAGTCAGTCAGTCAGTCAGTCAGTCACCATACCATGGCCGTGAGCGCAACATTGTACATTTCTCTCGTCTCTCGTCTCTGCTCTCTCCTCTCTCTGCTCTGCTCTCTCGACTCGACTCTGCTCGACTCGACTCTGCTCTGCTCTGCTCTGCTCTGCTCGACTCGACTCTGCTCTGCTCCCTCCTTCCACCACCCACATCCACCAATCCCATGCTACCCTCGCGCTTCCAAATCTACCAGTCCTCCTCCGCCATGATAAACAGAAGCGCAGCCCTCGACTCCCTAACATCAAGGATGGGTAAGCCGCCGCCACCATCCAGCACTGAGCCCACCACCCAGCACTGAAGCCACCATCCAGCACTTGACTCTCTCCGAGAGTCGAGAGTCGTGACGCCCCCCCCCCCCAAAACCTCTCATCAGCAAGGCCGTAAAAAAAATGCTCATTCGCAACCAATCCCATATGTACTTACTGCCCCTGAACCCCCGAGTAGCCGATCATCAGACCAGCACCCACCGCTTGTCAACCTCCTTCTGTCCCACCCGCATAGCAACCGTCTCCAGAGTCCCCTTGATAGCCGCCGCCGGCCGACCAGGAAACTTCTTCTTCAGCACCTCGATCAAGCCAACCTTGCTAAGATCACTGCCTGCGACTGCCTCTCTGAAGGCCGGGAGATCCTCGTCAGGCACCATCTTCTTCGGTCTGGCGTCTTGGGCGTCCTTGGGCTTCGGGCCTCGGGCGGAGGGGACGGCAGTGCTAGATGGCGCGTCAGGCTTTAGCGTGACTTCTGGAGCGTGGGCGAAAAAGAATTTGACGGGTTTGGGCGAGGCGACGGAGTTCATGGTGATGTCCAATGATAGGGATTTGAGGGGGTGACGAGGGGGTTCCATTGATGTGGTTTGCATTACTGGAGGTGCCCAATAAGCCGCGGAAAAGGGGTCAATGGATCTGAGGGTTGGGTCTGATTATCGTGAGCACGTCTTGAAGCTATACAGCATGAACGGAGGGGGTGGGAGTAGGCAAGCCAGAGCAGGTAGTGGTCAACATACCAATAATAATTTCCATCCGATAGGGCATCATCTCCACATGGCTATTCTGCCTCTTCCGATCCTCCCAGCATAATCCAGTAGAAACAGGCTCGAGATCACCTTGTACAACCAACCGTCTAGAGCTGGTAATTTCATCGTTCTCATCGTCGAGGAATTTGTCCATATCCTCGTCATCGTCATCGGCCTCTTCCTCTTCATCCTCGCTCTTCAGATCTTCGGCGTCCTCATCCTCAACCCACTCAGCCTCGCTGTCGTAATCGTAGTTGGTATCAGGCAGGTCTCTCCTAAAAGGGTTCCGAGCCAGCTTCGTCATACCGTGGATAGGCCAGCTGGTATATGTACCTCGATACGGGGGTCTGACATCCTCCTGAAACTTCAAAAACTTCAAGGGGACCTTGCTCAGCAGATCGCGCGTCTTGTTGATCTGTGACGTTTGAGAGTCGGTTGTGAGGTCCATGGGTTTCGCCGAACTGCCAGCAGCATACGATCGTGACATAATCTCCCGCACTGGCATGCATCGTCTGCCTCGAGGTACGTTCAATGGCAAGTGGAACAAGGAGGCTGCATCGAAGGTACGTTGGCGACCTGGGCTCCGATGGCCGGATATATAAGCATCGATGGTTTTCTCGATAGCTCCAATACCCTCCTCATCCCGCTTGAATCTGTTTGCGGGTGCCAGTGTGACTCCGTCCTGGACGAAAAAGTCAAGAAACATCTTTTCGTACGGCGTCTTCTCCGGCTTGCTGGGCGTCTTGTACGGAATCTCCACAGAAGCTGCACTAAGATCACCGGATTGCGGAGCAGGACTCATTGAGGTCCTCCCGTGGCTCTCGACACTCGATGCTCGGGTCTTTGGGTTGGCCGGGATGTTGAAGAAGTTCCCTAGCTTCATCTGGCCCTTATCCTTCTTCTTCTTCTCCTCTTCCTTCTGCTTCCGCTTCTCTTCCTTGGCAGCCCTCTCGGCCTCCTGAGCAGCCTTCTTCTCGGCCTTCTCGGCCTCCTTTCTCTTCTTCTCGGCCTCCTTCTCAGCCTCTTTGCGTGCTTTCTCCTCCGCAAGCGCCTGCTTCTCGGCCTCCTTCTTCAACTTTTCGGCCTCCTTGCGTAGCTTCTCCTCAGCCCTCTCTCGATCCCTGATCTCCTTATTGATGCGCTTGAGGTCCTTCTCCTGGAAGCTCATCTTCGGCTTCTTCGCCGGCGGCTGGCTTGTCGTAGCTGCGAACGTCGATCCGGTCGCTGCTGGATCTCCCAGTGGCGAAGAGGCCGGCCCCATCGTACGTGGGAATACTGCTTGGGATGGTGCAGCCGGAGCAGGACTTGGATCTCTGCTCGGCGTCGCACTCGCAGCGTCCGTCAAACTGCCCGTCTCGCTCCTAACCACACTTCCTTGCCTCTTCTTACTTCCTTCCAAGATCGGTGGCGTGGGCAGCGATTCCTGGCTCTGCTTGGGTTGTTCCTGGGCCGCGGGTCTCACAAGGAAATCTGCGGGCACGGAGCCGGGCTCTTCGAGGTCTTGCGTCTGGTGCTGGGATTCGTGGGACTGCTGAAGTTGGAAGGTGACGTGGTCCCTCTTGAGAGGACGAGGGGAAGTAGGCGCCGACATTGCGAATATGGTGGAAGGGAGCGTGGTGGGCAGGTGTTAGCTTCGGGGTCCTCTGGTCCTCTGATCCTCTGGTCCATTCATTCCCTTGTCGTCCGGACGGGGATTGGTGTTGTACCAATGCAGCGGGAGTCAAATAAACATCGAGAACTCTTCAGCTGGTGGTTGTGAGAGCCTAAAAGAGATCTATGTCTGAAAATCGATGCAGCGCGTTGTTTCCCAGGTGTTGTTATCGTGGTGTTGTGGAGGGACGCGGCAGGGGACGCGCTCGGGATTGGCAAAGTGGTTTCGCGTTCTCGCGTACGGCCAGGAACCAGGGGCACCACGAGTATCACGTTCGCCAATGATATCAAAGTCCTCATATCAAATGAGTTGTATTTAGGCCTCTCGAGCTCATACACAGCAGGCAGAATTAGGATTATTTACAAGATTCGAGTTGCAGGTCACACTTCGCAAAGGCAGATAGATCAACACAATCGTGGCGAACGTCCGCATCCGAAGCTGGAACCCATTACTGTCCAAGTGACTGTCGCGATGCCAGCAGGGCCGTTGTACACAGAATGCGAAAAGCGCAGGATGCCGTTCAAACGAACTCTCGCATCCAACCAAAGTTGCCTCCCCAATCCAACCCACGATTAGACCAAGAGCCCCAATCCTGATGCCAATCCTGATGAACCAGGCCAGCCAACCGATCCGCTGAACCCATCATGTCTGTATCCTGCCGAACGCCTGATATGCATATCCACAATCGTAGCCCACGTACCATTTCCCTCTCCTCGAGCTTGGGTAGGTCCTCCCGCCTCAATCGCTATCAGCGTCCGGATTCGCAATGTACAGCCGGCCCGCGCTCATCGTCATTGTCCGATCATCCACGCTCCCCCGTCTCCTCAGCTCATCCGGACTCTTCACGCTCTTCTCGCGCGTAATCGTAGCCCGCAACAAGCTGTTGCTTGCCAACCTCGCCGCGTCTACCGTGGTGAGCTCACTCAACCCATCCGCTCTCTCCCCACTGCTGCCGCTGCCTGCACTTCTCGTCCCGTCCTTCTGCCCATCAAAGTGGCCAGAACGCTGGCGCGTGGCAGCCCCCGGCGCCTCTCGAGCCATCTGCTCACCCTCCAGCGAATCTAGCCTCTCACTCGGGGGCGTATTCCCCCATCTCCCGCCCGTGCTACCCGGGCCCGATGGTCGTGAGAAGGCAGGGCCTCTGCGTCCACTCCCGACACTACTCCTCCCGCTGCCAGTTCGGCGATGGTACTGGCCGCCAAGCGCCTTCACCGAGTCGTCGTCGTCGCTGTCTCCATTCTCAACCTCACTGGCACTCAAGCGCATCGGCACCCCGCCGCCCACCAGATCCCCCGGACTGTAGCCCACCAGAGCCGACTTGCCGTGATGTCTGATCTTCGCCGTGACGCCTTTGCTGCCTGCCAAGCTCGCCGATACACCGGTCGAGATTTTGCCGCCGGTCGAAGAAGAGCCGCCCACGACTTCCTTGGTGGCACGCGCCTTCGCGAGCTTCTGCTGCGCGAGCAAGCGCGGGTCTTCGTGCTGAGCCCGATCGCACCACACCGTAGCCTTCTGCTTCCGCATCAAGGCTACGTAGCTTCCCGGCTGCGAATTCCCGGACCTGCTGGATGTCGAGCGTCGCAGATCCTGCGAAGTGCCCCGTCGGACGCCCACCGGGCCATTGCCGCTGCTCATCGTCGCCAAGGTGGCATTGGACGGTGTCCGGCGGGAGGTATAGGAATTGGCCTGCATGTTTGCGGGATACTGCTGCTGGGGCTGGTACGGTTGCGGCTGGTAAGACGGGAAGATGTTGGAAGATGTCGTTCTCGAGCGACTATGGTTGTAGATATCTGCAGAATTTGAATGAGATTGTGATGGATGATGTTGAGCTTGCGACTGGCCTTGAGAACCTGGGAAGGTTGTGGTTGGTATGGGTTTTCTGTGCACCTGGCTCGCCATGATGAGCACGGCGGGCTGCAACTAGTATGGGCGTAAGTAGAGCCAGCTTTCGACGGGAAGCCAGTACTGAGAGAAAGTTGCTCGATGGTGGTGGGGGTGGGTGAGGGGGTTGTTTGGTTGGTTGTAGATGATGAGATTGACAGCCGGATCGGAAGTTGTGTAGATGCCGGGCGCGGGTGAGTGGGATGTTGATTTTAGAAGATGAGAAGATGAAGAAGATAGCTGGAGGGGGAGGGTTGGGGGGGGGGGGATGGGTGATGGGTGATGGGTGATGGGTGATGGGTGATGGGTGCGCCGACAGGAGGGGGAGAGGAGGAGAGGCGGGGAGAGGGGGAGGGGAGAGGGGGGGAGAGGGGGAGCGGAGAGGGGTGGAAGGTGGCAGTAGTAATAGTAGAGTAGCGGTAACAGTAGATAGGTAGGTAAGTAGGTAGTAGTACCGGTAGTAGGTAAGTTTGAGCCGAAGCGAAGTTCCAAAGGATCTCTCCCTCTACGTAAAGCTGAAGCTGAAGCTGATGCCGATGCGGACACTGATGCCATCGACGGCGTCTGTCTTTGTCTGTGAGCCCGTTCGCGGTTTAGCGCAACCCCAAGACTCCAAGACTCCAAGGCTCCCAGGCTCCCAGGCTCCAAGGATTCAAGGATTCAAGGATCCAAGGATCCAAGGATAAGGTGCTACAAAGCGTCCGAGATGGGGCACAAGCGAGATGACTTGCGCTTGAGGCTTGACGGTTGGAAAAGTCAATGTCAGTGAGCTCTCCTCCTATTTGCCCACACGCCCGCTGGCCCAGGCCCATCAGTATCAACATCAACCCCAATGATGCACAATTACTCCGAGAGATAGTAGTAGTACGTAGTAGTACTAGTAAGTAGTAGAACTTAGTATTTGTAGTAGTAGTCCCGGGACTACCTATACAACGACAGTACTTAGCTAGGTACGTAGTAGGTATTATCAAAAAACAAGAACATGAAAAAGCCAATTCGACCCGGTCCTCCCGTCCCACCTCGTCTCCTACTTATCACGCTCCTGACTCCTGACTCCTGACTCCTGACTCCTGACTCCTGACTCCTGAGTCTTGAGTCCTACTGTAACGACCGCGTAGGGCAGGTAGCTAGGTAGAAGTAGTACCTAGAGCGGACTTGTGCACTTGCGCACTTGTGCACTTGGAGACTTGTGCACTTGTGGCGCACCGCACGGATTCGGCGCCGCCGCATGTCCGAGTGTCCCCATCGCTTTCACTTTCCCTCCTCGCTTCCACCAACATGTCCCGTACCCCACACGTGCCGCGGCGGATGGGCAATGGGCAGCTGCCAGTGCTTTGGCGCTTCCTCGTCGCTTGATATGGGAGAGGGGGGGCGTTGTTGTAAGCGAAGATGACAACAAACCACCAGTACCCTACAACAAGCTCGGAGTGCTCCCGTATACTGTACTATACTATACTATACCGGTACTACACCACACTACACGACACTCACTACACTATACACTACCTCCTACATCCATCTCTTCTCCTTATTCCCCCCCTCATCGAAATCATCCTAGCATTTCTCCATTCCCAAAGCCACCAGCTTCATTGATTGAGACGATACTTACGTGTATGGTACACGTTTCATGTACGACCGGGTTATGCTCCCTTGCAACCCATGAGCTGATTTCCTACATTTCCCATCCCGAGGTAGGTCTTGCATGTTCTCCATTAGAATTTCATTAGAAGCACAGCATGTTATTCACTTCTCCCCTCGCTGTGCAGATAAGCATCCAGCTACAGTACCGGTATATACCGGAGGTCCACAGCTGAGAGGGTGTCTGGCTTGGAATTGTCAGCTGGTGCATAGCTAGGTAGGTAGGGGAGGTAGGGGAGGTAGGGGAGGTAGGGGAGGTACCGTAGGTTTCAGCCCCCTCGACAATCAGATCGTGGCATCATCTTCATTCCCAGCTGTGGAGTGGGGGTGCTTAGCCGATAAACATCTCCGTCTGACGGGCGGGGACGCGGCGACCCGAGCGAGTAGGGACTTGGTCTGAGCTATCGGTCCTAGTAGTACTTACTGTACTGTACTGTAGCTATCAGGCGCGTCGGCCCGAAAGACAGGATGGATATCACGTGAGGAAGCCTCGGGAACGGGAAGTGTGCTCGGGTGCCAGATGGGTGAAAATGTGGATGGAGCCTGCTTACTTCCGCGACGGACCTGATGATTTCTGGGATCCGATTCAACTTGAGTGGTGGTATTTGCCCGAGGAAGAAGAAGATGATGATGATGTTGAAGAAGCTGTCGAATTTGACTTGATCAGGAGATGGAAGCATTCCTTGCACCATCCCAAGCCATTCACCAGGGTCGAACAAAAGTTTGCAAACGTGAATCTTGGCCCTTGGGAATGAACAAACAAGTCAGTACCGGTACCGTGACCAGTACCGTGACCAGTACCGTGACCAGTACCAGTACCGCGACCTATACCGGGAGAGCTTCGGCTAATTCTCATCAAACCTTTGTCACGTGGATCTGGTGACACGCTAAGCTTTGACTTAGCCCTCTCCCCTTCCTTTTCCCTTCGACCTCGACGCGACCGTGTTTTTGCTTCTTTCGACATCCCATCCCCGATCTACTCTCTGTCAACCCACTGGCCGACCTGATGCAACAATGACAATATGTTTCGATCCCTCCGAGCAGCAGAAGATGCTGCGATCGAGGGAGCGACAACTGAATGGGATACGCAAACCTGTGAGCTGATGAAAGACGATTTGTTACCTGTAAGATCTGCTGCACCTGCAGGCAACCTGACCTTGGCTTTTCCTCGACCAGGGCCCGCACTGACCCTAAAAAAGAGTAGCCCGATTCCCCACAACGCCAACAACGCAGAGGTCGCGTCAACCAACGCGGTATTGGATTTCAGCTCGGGTTTTGCTTCTGCTCCCCAACTAGCTTACGTCGAACACGTCCAAGAAAAACCAGAAGTCGAAGGTGAAAGTCGACGCATCGAGATTCGGGATGTGCAGGGCAACGGAAACGAGAACGATAACCTTGATATCGGCCAATCAGAAGAGTTAGACGCACTAGCACGACCACCGTCTGCGAATGCAATCCTACCACCACCGCCGCCGCTGCCGCTGCCGCGTTCGAAGTATCGAGTACGACGCGACAGCAAGTTGGTCTCGCCGCCACTTCTACCTGAAGGTCAATTGGCTGGACTGAACCAGGAGAAGCTGAGACCCAAGCAGGCCAAGATGGACGATTCGACGCAAAAATCCTCGATGTCACTGACGCAAGAGAATCCAGACTGGGTTAACGACCATTACCGGATACAAGAGAATCTCTTGGAGGAATGCCCATCTACTGCAACACCAGATGAGGATCCTCCGGCGCCTGCTCCGGGACCTTACGACATAGCTAAGCATACCACGCGAACGCAATCCACGGCCTACACCTATGAGGAGAACGATACGGGTCATATCACGCTAAACTTCAACCCGGAATCCGAAGTGGCAGATGAAGGGGCCGATGAGGACGAGGAGGAACCATCTCAGGATGCGTCCTATGCCGTAGCACCCCCCATACAATACAGCAGCCATTCCCTCGAACCCAAGACGCCAGCCCCGCCAGTCAACCCTTTCCTACAAAGGGGCAGCGTTATGAAGGGGTTCGAACTGTTTGGAGCCACTCAGCCGTCCTCTTTCGGTCGAAATATGACCAGTCCTAGCTCTTCTCGCCCCTCACCTACCGTGTACAATGACTTTAGCTCTCCTGCCAAACTACAGACCTTTGTTCCTTCGTCGCCTTCAAGAAGGAGACTTGATCCCGAACTCCCAGATCTGGAATCCGAGGCTAACGATGCGACATCCCTTCAATCATCTGTACGGAACATGCTGAGTAGGTCTCTTTCAGCAAGTAATAATACTCGAACTACACAGTCATTCGACGCGGGATTACGAAGACAACCGCAGAAACCTGAACCGAGGGCGTACATTTCGATGAAGGAGAGTCAGGAGAAGAGGCAGAGAAGGCAGCAAAAGATAATTGTCTCGGAGAGTGAGGACGATTCCGACGAAGAGATACAGAACCGAGTTCTACAGAAGAAGCGTGATCTCAGGGTACAAAAGGAGCTTGCTATGGTGGGAGTTAGCAGAAAGAGGATGCCGTCGTCTCTTCCACGATCCTCGGTCCCTCGGTCTTCTAGCACGCCGGCGATCGAAGTACCTTCTACTGGACGGAGACGCAGCGTTCAAGAAGAATCTCCTGCGCAGTGTACCGGGCACGACGCGCGGGATACTCAACAGGACGATATCATTGCTGATTCTCAGGTGAACAATAATTTGGCTTCCTCGCCTACCCACCAATCCACACCGAAAGCTATGGAACTCCCCAAGCTACCTCGGCCAGAAGAGGAGCCGGTGACCACGGCCGCCGACGTCAATGAGGAAGAAACAGAGGATGAGGACGAGAATCGAGACGGAAATGCGGATGGGATCACCAACTCGTCAACGGGACCTCCAGAAAACAAGCTTTTGCCGGATATGTCGTCGAATTCTGTCGCAGAGCCTAGTGCACCCGAACCCAGTCTACCACCACAGGGACTCTCTTCAAATCAGATCAATCTACAAACACCTACTAGAGGATACTCAGACACAGTCCCAGAAACCTCGCCCGTTGAGGAACGACTTCGGCCGATGGGCGAAATCGCGAATGTCTCCTTTGATCGCCAAGATTCTGCAATGGACCATCTACCGGGATTCACACCAGACGCCGATTTTGATGCTGCCATGAAAGCTCGGACGTCTCCCAAACCACCCCCGTCAAGAAGATCGAGTCTCAGAAGACAAGCCTCTTCAAATGTGTCCAAGAACTTGCGCAGTCCCGTCACCAATGGAGCCCTGTCGAATGTGAGTTCTTCCGCGCTCTCCAGCCTTCCCAGCAGCCCAGCAGATCCGACGAAACACGTAGAGACTACCATGCAGGAAGGCTTGGCAGGACAAGACCAACCCGGAAATCCAGAAACCGGACAGAAGGGTCACAGAGATACAGAACTCCCCACTGAAAATCAATCCGCTACTGCTGGACGAGAATCGACCAACATGGAGCAAGCTCTCCAGACGGTCCGTGATGGCCTAGTCGAAGATGATCCGAAGAGATCACAACAACCTGAAGTCGCTGTTGATCAGGAGGAAGCTGCCGCAGGCCTGCCAGTCCAAGAGCAGATCGTCGGTGAAGAAGTGGAACCTGTAAAGGCTCTCAGTGCAGTTGCCCCAGAGGCACCACTACCGGAAAATTCAATCGCAGACACTTCAGTCGCAGATTCAGAGGCGGCACTTCAGACCATTTCTCCTGCACCCAAGAAGGGGCTGAAGACTTACAGCAAGGCCAGAGCAACTCGAGGCTCAAGACCTTCAGATGTCGCTGTTGCTGCGGCCCCTACCACCTCTACGCATCGTACCTCGTCTCGTGTAACAAAAGCCACGCCAAAAGTCCAAGTTGCGGGTGCGACAGCGACTCCGATATCGACACCGCGAGTAACACCCCGTACGACACCTAGTACGGAAGCTGCAATGACTTCTGCTGGCTCGTCAACGAGGAATTCCGCCGCCAGTTCTATCGCGAAGCCCCCCGTTCCCTCTACCATTGCCATTGGCTCCACGGCGGTACCTCCTCCGCAGAAACGCACCGCAAAGCGAAAGTCAAGTACCACGGTCGTGGAAGAGCCTGTTCTGCCAACTCGGTCCTCAAAGCGGCAATCAACAGCGAACCTGAAGGAATGCAGCCCTGATCCCCTTGCTCTTTCCTCTCCCCTCACTGCAGCAAGAAGGACCGCTCCGGGCTTGTTTAACAACATGACGTTCGCAGTCTCTTACGTTGGCCACGAACGCGAGAAGAATGAAGCCACGAAGCTAATATTCGATAACGGTGGACGTATTCTCCCCGATGGTTTCGACAGTCTATTTGAGACGCCAAAGTTGGGTGCCAGCCATGATACCGATATGATACTGTCACATTCGGCAAAGTCTGCTGGCTTTGTGGCGTTGATCGCGGATGAGCACTCGCGAAAAGCCAAATACATGCAAGCCCTTGCATTAGGATTGCCGTGCATATCTGGCCATTGGATAACAGCTTGCGTCACCAAATCCTCCATCATTGATTGGTCACCATATCTGCTTTGTGCCGGTCAGTCCTCGATTCTCGGAAATGCACACAAAAGCCGGGTCCTCCAGCCATATCCTGCTGCAGATGCCTTGTTAAAGGATGTATTCTCCAAGCGAGGAAAGCTGCTCGAAGGCAAGTCTGTTCTCCTCGTTACTGGTAGAGGAAAGCAGGAGAAGAGAAAGGCGTACTCTTTTCTGGCTCGTGCTTTAGGGCCAGCACGCATCGGCCAAGCTGCGGATTATCAAGAGGCGCGGAAGAGGTTGTCAGAAGGCCAGGAAGGAAAAGAGCACGCGTGGGATATGCTGTATGTTGATACCCACGAGCAAGCGGCGGAGGCGGCTGTCTTTGGCACCTCTACAGTCTCCAGCAGCGCCTCGAAGAAGAGAAAGCGAGGACCTACGCAAGCAGTAGACGACTCTCCGGCACCGAAGAAGATCAGAATCATTTCCGATGAAACGATGATCCAGAGTTTGATTCTGGGGCAATTGCTTGATGATTGAGATGGAAATAGGAGACGGTAAATTTTTTTGCGGACACCATAATTGGACGGAAAGGCGTGGGTGGGATGAAAAGGGGTTTGGGCATCGCCGGCGCTACGGAAGGAAGTGGGAATGCATATCGATGCATATCTACGGATCGGATGGTTTGATCTGCTAATCGTAATTGGCGCTGGTTTTTTTTTCGGAACGAATGTCCGGCCAGGGCATGTAATAACAGGGGCGGGATCTTTTTGTGATACCAGGTCGAGGTGGTCTAGGTGGTGGGTGGACCCCGACAATTGCTGCGGACGGGAATAGACGCATGGATGAGATACAAAAGCCGCTTGGCAGAATTGAAGATGATTCGTTCTGCGACCTTATTGTGACAAACGACAGCGTCATGCGAGTGGCTATAGGTGAGATGATGCTACCAACAACCGGACCAAACTTCGATACTCCCGAAGTCGACAGTAATAGATCGGTAAGTGAGCGAGTCAAATCAAATCAAATCAAATCAAACACGCCTAGGATATTTCGAGAGGGTTTTTTTGGGTGGGGGGTTGGGGAGAGGAAGGGGGGGACGGGAGGAAGGGGAGGAAGGGAGGTGAGGGTTTATTGGGTAGTTGGTTGGGTAGTTGGTTGGTTAATGGTATAGATGACGAGTGATAGGTGATAGGTGATAGGTGATAGGTAAGTGATGAGCGCTGGTAACGGCGACGTGACGCACGTGACGGTGGTTACCTATATCTCGGAATCCGGGCTGGGGTTAGATGATAAGTGATAGATGACAAGCAAGTAAGCAGGCAAGTAAGCTCTTCGGCCAGTTGATGGTGTGAGAATCGAAGAGAGCGGTGTCTTTCTTTTTTTTGGGGGGGGGGGGGGAGGGGGGAAGGGTCAGGAGTTCTGCTCGGGCAGTACGGTTTTTTTTTNTTTTTTTTTTTTTTTGGGATGTCGGGATGCAGTTTAAGAGGAAAGGTTCATGTTTTGTTTGTTTGTTTGTTCGGATGGAATTTTGATCTCGGCTTTTGGGGGTGTGGATGTCTTTTCTGCTGTGGCTTTTTATGTGTGGATTGTGTTCATGGGGGATGGGAATGGGAGAGGGAGGAGAGGAGTGACGTGAAGAGAAAGTGACGTGAAGAAGGGGGAATGCCTCCACTGTTTGGCGATTTCACGCTTACCAAGACCTAGAAGAACATCTGCGGAACGGATGAGAGGGCGTTTATTGGGAGGAGGATGCTGGATCCCGAGGTGGTGGTAACGCACTCTGCTTGCCGCAAAAGCAGACGAAGATATCACACCTTGTATTCTGCGTTGTGCAGATGCAGACGGCTTTGGCAATGCACAGCTGGAGGGGGGGGGTGGGAGGAGGGAAGGGAATGGCAGCAAGAAGCTCCGCCTGCCCCCATACCGTTTTCGACTCTTTTTAGGGAGTCGAGAAAAAAGGGGGTATGTCAGGAGGAACAAAGGGAAAGGGGGGGGGAGGGCGAGAAAGCAGCGCCCCGAGTTGCCTCGAGGTGCACCGGGCGGAAAAGTGTAGCTCTGTCAGCCTGAGTAGGCACAAAAAATGGATCGAGTTCCTGACATGATGAAAGGACCAGAAGTGGGAAGCGGCAGATCTAGTAGTATCCGTGTCAAAAGACTTGTTTGTTCTTTCTTCGCTCTCGTATAACCTCGATAGCAGAATGATAGCTGCCTTTGAATAATAATTAGCGCTGTAGGCGTTATGTAATCTGGGTCTTGGTTATTCGGGATTGATAAATAGTCGAAGAATATGGTTTATTCCTTAGCTGATCGAGGGCCTAAGCTAAGCTAATTTGAGCCATTCAAATTCATGTCGCAGGAGAAATTGTATGGAGCGAGCTAGCTGTCTTGCTTAGAGGTATTTGAGACCCTTCGTCTCATGCCATATATACTTCGGAATTAAAAGAGATGTCACGAGGTTTTTGAAATGAATTAGCAGTGTTGGGCTCTCTTGCTATGTTTGACTTCGTGGCTATAGATAGATAGGTGTTGAGACTTGCTAGGAGAAGATTAGCACATTAGCTCTTGCGCTGGGAGATGCTTTTTCTTTTCTTTTCTTTCCGCTTGTAGCTATCATGTCCGACGAAATGCTGGATTTCGGAACGATAGCCGAAGAAACCTGACAGCAACCGCTTTTGTGTAAAAGATTCAAGATGTCACCGAGATCGAGGAGAAAAGTAGCTGATTATCTTCAGTTCCTCGATCTCTCGGTGAGAGAGCCGAAGATCACTGCATACGAACTGCCAATGCTGCTGCGTCTACCCCCTTCCTTGGTTCTCTAATTGTCTTTGAATATCTCCCTTACGGTTCTGGTGCATAAATGGGATGTTTTTGGCGGCCTCTCAGTCTATATGATTATTCAAGGGCATCATGTAAGAGAGAGAGAGAAGGTGAGGAAATATGTATTCACGCCAGCATCCTGCTTCTTCCGGAAGTTAAACGGGTTTCTTGGCTTATTTCTGGTTGATACGCGCTTACCATTTGGTCTGACTATAACCCCAATTACCCGTCGCTCGTCTCATTGGCTGAGGAAACGGTGAATACTGTATTTCAGAGAGGTCAACGTGGTTCAAATCAGATGTGCTTGGGGATCATGTGTCCTTTTTGACTTTTTGAGAGTTGAGAGTAGTATCTTCACTACGAGAATGCAAAAAAGGAATCCCATTCCTGAAGTCGAACAGATGGAAAGTGGGTTAATCTTATGGCAGTGACTTCCTGAATGATAGTGCAAATCATTTCGTCCATATCTTCCAGCAGAGTGTCTAGGAGTCAGCAGTCTAGCGCTCAATGCTCTGTTATTACTAGCTGTTCAATCTCAAGCTTCAAATTTTACCTCTCCGTATCATAAGCCCATTGTATAAGAGCTTTAGTCGTATTGTGTTCTTGGTATTCCAAAGATGATAATGGCTTTATGCTCCAGCCTTGATCTCGGAACGGATGAGTAATTGCATGTCGAAGCCGAGAGATCGGCTGGTATGGGAGTGAGTATTCATTCACTCTTGCTGCAGAAGAGAGAGGTGTAATTCGATACCCACTCAACAACCACTCATTAGACTCGCCAAACAGCTCTAACATTATATGAGCTGTAGCAATCATCAGCACTTATATCAAGATCAAACTATCCGAAATGCCATTTAATTGGCTCGCGTGGTGGTCGAAAAGGCTGAGCCGTGGCTTTCCGTATGCGTTGCTTTCTGAACTCTGAAGCTTCCTTAGCTTCAAAACGATCCTGCTCTGTCGCTATAGCATTTGATACTCGCTTCATAAATGGCACTGATTCTCGAAATTGTTCTGTACGGTATTCTATTGGGTGTGATGACAGTGGTGGAGGACTTCATAGTAACATCTAGAATCAAAGGTGGTACAAATTCCCTTTTCCTCGGCTTCGACCTCACAGATCTCTGAATCAAGTTCGGATAGCTATTCCAACCCGACAGCATTCCATTTTCTAGTATTATGCTTTCGAAAATCTTCTTCCCCGTTCCTTTCTCAATGGTTTGATGCAGCCGCTTGCAAGCGAGTTTAGCAGGAGGATAGCGTCTCAGAGCATTGTCTGCAACTGATATGGCCCCTTCTAGCACTCGATACTTCTAGCACTCGATATCGATGAGTGATAAGGTTCATATATAGGAAGTCATCGAGTCCTGCGCTGTTCGTTCTCCGGTACGTATACATGAGAACCTCTACGTCTCTCAATCTATCTTGCGGAATGCCGTCCTGAAAAGCAAAGCCGCACTTAAATACTTAACCGTTTGATTTCGAAGACCCAAGATCTTTTAAAGGTAGTTCAATGATTCTTTTTGCTATCAAAAATAAGATTACTTTGCTAGTCAATTGGCTACTTTATTCTCTCGATCTCAATCCGATCGAGCACGTTTGATAGCATCTTGAAAAAGGTTTACTAAATGTTCTCCGAGGTTGCAATCGATAGATCGAATTCAAAACATGCACGGCAAAGGATAGAGAGTTTTTTGCAAGCTGCGTGAGATATATTGGATTAGTCGCTGTTTGATAATTTGTATCCAAGTATGCCGGATAGAATTAAAGCTTGTATCGCGGCCAAAAGCTGGCATATTAAGTATCAAGGTCCGTGCGAAATCGATTAACTAGCTTACAAATTGAAAAGAATAAAGATAATCCATAGAATAGAATGGTCTTTTTTTAATTCAATTTGGATTTGTAATTATTGCGTAATTAAGAAGTGAGAGCTGAATGTCTAATATTGATTTTGATGTTCTCGCTTAAGTGGCTAACAGCAGTTGCCTAGTACTGGTATGCAGCTATCAGCCCTGACCAGGAATCATTCATGACGGGATTATTCATAGAGTATTCCATCTATTCCTGCGTAACCCACCTTCGAGTTTCTTTGCCCTGTTCTTATATAATCCAGAAATAGTACTGGAAGCATGCGAGTCTTTGTTGAAAGGTTCGGGTACATCATTTATTAACTTATTTATTGAATGTATACTTTTCACGATGGCTGGCGATGTTCAAGTTTTACCTCCTGTCAACAGCGGATTGAAATCAACATTATGAGAATATTTGGTCTTCAGAAGCATTTCAATTGAATTTTATATGCGGCTCCCCCCGCTTTGCAGCTTCGAAAAAAAAAATCATTCGATTCGGTAAGCCTTTTACTACCTCGGTCTATCACTACCAGTAGATATATAGATTGTAAATAAATAGAATATCAATGAAATTTCAACACGAAAAGGCCCTCGCTTATCAATATTCCAGATTATTCACATACCAAGACCACGAGCCACTCCTACCCTTTTCGCACTCTCTTATTCCACTCGGCCCTCTCCTACTCTCGTTTTTTTGCCGGCACCATCATCTCCTTACCAGCATGACTCACTCATCTACTTCCGTTACTTGCTTATTCGTATCGCGGCCGTCGAAACTTCAAATCAGCCCACCCTATTTCTGGACCACACAGCCCTCTCTTCGAAAAAGGCATAAGTGAATCGGGATCCAGATTACTTCGGCAGCTCCTAAAAAACCCCCCCCAAACTCTTATCCCGACAGTCCTGATTTTTTCGGACCCGCGACCTATAAACTCTGGAGCTTTTCCTTCATTTAGGGGCTTGTAAGAAGGCTAGATAAAACCCCTTAGAGCTGTCAAGACGCAGAATTCCAAATCAAACAGCAAGCAAGCCCAACGAAAAGTTCTCTTCGGCAGTCGGCAGCAGCAGACGGTGGAAGGATACCAAACCGTGGGCAGGAAATTGAGGATTGCATCTTGCGCACGCAACGGGTATATATACTCAGCAGAACAGACAAACACCGATCTTGAGATCTGCCCAGCTAGTTGACTGGAAACAACGCTTCATCACACGCCCACACATCCATCTGGATTATCCATACATCCGAGCAACGCCCAAAAACGCCATCGATATATACAACCTTGTTGTGGTCACATCGGCTTCTCACCTGTAGCTTTTCATTCGCCCCTACATCCTGCCCTCCCTTCCTCTCCATCCGTGCTTTCGCCTCTAAGCCTGGGTCGATTCGTCACAGTGTGTATATCTTTTCTACATTCGACACACATGATGACATGATCAATGCAGTTAAATGGCAGTTGCACATACGGCATATCAACAATGCGGCTATTTAGCTTTCGGAAACAGTACCTTAATTGCTTACTTACAGTACGTACGTACGTAGCGTTAGTCAAGAGTCACGAGTCAGCAGTCAGGAGTCAGGATGTGGTCAGTGCAGGCCGGACCGCCCTGGATGATCGCGGATGTCTCGGTCCTCGGTCTCGGCACCCTCGCAATCAGCTTGGCTTGGCTAGGGCACCTTCCAAATGCGACGTGCTTGCTGTACTCTGTACATCCCTCAATCCAATGTGGGAATTGATTTATTTTTCCGTGTGCTTTGGCCGATGTGGCCGGATACTCGTTGGACACATACGTCAGTAGGTGGGTAATGCTGGTTGGAGAATATTGGAAGTTTGGGATTTGGCGCCGAACTAAGGTTGTAGATGATCTTGGTGCTGGCGACTTGAGAATTTAAGCGAAGGAGATCTTGGGAGGAGTGGTATATGGTGAGGGTTGAGATATGCATGGCTCTTTATCACAACCATAGTCACAGATGATGAGTGGAGAGCAGTAGGATGAGCCCACAAGGTCTCGTTTCACGGGAAACGGTATAGAACTCGTTTGTTGACGCGGACTACTCCCGGGCAGTGTTGACGAAGCTTGGCCAGAAATACAGAAACGTGACATTTTTCTTGGATTCGTAATACATTAGACATTGCGTTAATAAATATCCCAAACGCCGATATATTATATAGATCATTTTCCGATCCATTGATGCAGCTCAAAGCGCTCAAAAGAGTGTCGAGAGTGTGTGCTGTGTTCCAGGGTATATCCTCCATACAGTTCGCGTACATTAACAACCACCACCAATTCCAACCACCGGGGTTTCCTCCGAGATTTCCATGAATTACATCAGACCCCTCACAGCGAGACAGCGAAGCCAACCGCGACCGCCATAGCAGCCATGCTATACCCTATCCCCTTCATATCAGACGCCGCAGAGACAGGGACGAGCGTTGAGCTCGCGCTTGGTGAAGGCGTTGCACCGGTCGTTGGTGTGGAAGTGTTTTTCGAGGTTTCATTGGACATGGGGCCGCCCGGCGATGATATGATGTATGGGCCTGTGGAGTTTGACCCACCGCCTGAGCTCACAGAGGGTTGTTGCGGCGGGGGAGGTGCAACGCCGGAGCCAGATGGAATGTAGGGAGAGATGGGATTCGTCGATGGAGGAGAGGCTAATGCGAGGCCGTTGACGGCCGTTGTGAGGAGGGCCGTGACGGCAATGAGGTTGCGGGTGGAGAGTTGCATCTTGAAGGTTTTGTAGGGAAAATATCAGGAATTTTCTCGTGAGATGTGTAGAGAAGGATGCTAGGAGATTTGAGCGATAGACTGGACGTATGAGATTGATACAAGTAATCAACTGGAAGATATAGGAGATTGATATGAGAGACTGAATGGATGTAGAAACTGAAGGAGCATGCAGAACATAACAATATATATCATAATTCGAATCTCGCCACAACCCTATGTAGCCTCCCGAGACCGAATAGGATGGCGAAGCTGCCTTCGCCGTCAGCCATGCGTATGACGACGCCCAGCGCAATTATTGTGCGGCTCACTCAACTTGTTGAGCAAGACGTCCGTCCGTGCCGGAGAAATCCCGTTCAGAAAGTAAACATTCTTGAATGTAATTGGGCGGTAGAGGTGGCTGAGAAAAGAACCTCCGAGAAATCGTGGCTATGAGATACCGGTACCTACAGTACTAACGAAGTTTAAACTTCGCTTTGTTACGCCACAGATATCAGCTTGGCAGAGGCGAGTCCCGATATCCAACCATCTTCTTCGGTCAAACCATCATCGGGAAGATCCATATGCTTGGTGCTTCCATCAGCCTCGTTCATGCGAGGTCATCGATCAAGGCCTGGTGAACTACCGGTAACTGTCCGTATGCCGACCTTGGTTCGGAGGATGTTGTTAAGGTACTTGTACGTAGTAAGTAACGTTCCGAGGCAAAATCTATTTTGGGAACAGCAAGCGAGACCCCTGAAAAGTCATCGTCCACCCCCACCATTGAACCTCGGCTGCCACCCGCTCTCCTGAGTCTTCAACCTCACCACCGCTCCCATCTTCTCTCAATGCCTCCCATACCTGCTTCGGACACTCCAAGAATAGTGATATACTATCAGACGCAGCATCACCAGGATGGCACGCCTTGCTCCATACTGCCGATTATAACGCAGCCCGATATCGCAGTGACACACGTCAACCTGGCCGCAATCCACCTGAACGACCCTCCGGGAAACATACACCTAGTACCGTCCTCCCCCTAGCTCTATCAATTCATCTATCTGACATCTGTAGAACGACCATGCCCCTTCCGATCCCCGCTACCTCACCCTCTGGGCGGAGCTCCGCGTGCTCCAAGCCTCTGGCATCAAAGTCCTGGGCATGCTAGGCGGCGCTGCAAAAGGCTCCTTCACCCGTCTGGACCTCGACGATGCAACCTTCGAAGCATACTATATACCTCTACGGGACCTTGTCCGCGAACGAAACCTCGATGGCTTAGATCTGGACGTTGAGGAGCCTATGACTTTGGCGGGTGTAATACGACTAATTGATCGGCTGAAAGCAGATTTCGGGAAAGACTTCATAATCACTTTGGCTCCTGTGGCCGCGGCCCTGATGTCCGACCGCCCTGAACATAACCTCTCTGGCTTCAGCTACGAAGCATTAGAAGTTATGCGCGGTAAGGATATTGCGTGGTATAATACTCAATTCTACTGCGGCTGGGGAGATCTCAGTAAGACAGACGGTTACGACTTCATGGTTGCGCGCGGATACCCTGCAAACAAGATCGTGATAGGCATGGTTACGAATCCGGCGAACGGGAGTGGATGGGTGCCGTTTGAGACATTGCAGGGAGTCCTCATCACGCTGAAATCAAGATACCCGGGCTTTGGAGGGGTGATGGGGTGGGAGTACTTTAATTCGCTGCCTGGTGACAGAGCAAGGCCGTGGGAGTGGGCGGCTTTCATGACAAGAAATCTGAGGAACTTACTTCCTAAGCCTGTGTCTGCATCCGGTCCTCCTGTGTCTGCACCAGCTCCACCTTTTGAGAAGCAGAATCCCTTCATGTTGGTGGATGATGAACCGAAGGCCAAAGCAGATGCGCCCGTACCGAATGATTTCGAGTACTATACAGATGGAAATACCTCTGAATGAATCAAATTTTATACCAATCACTACCCCCAGTTGCTATTCCGTACTTTGCTCCAACTATTTGGAGACAAGGTAAGATGGAGGCAAGCCTGTTGCGCTACTCCTCGGACAGCTTGACTACCACCTTTTTCGCACAACCCTTCTTCCCAATGAACATTTCCACTCCTACTTGTACAGTTTTCCATCCCCGCATCCCCGAATATCTCATATTCTATCGGCTTCAGGTCGTCGCTTTTCAGAAACTCCTCCAACATCGGAACAAACTTTTCAATATCCGGGTTTTATTTCGTCGTCCATTCTTCGATAGCTGATATATCCCAGAAACACCGTATTGCGCTCAATTCTTTGTTTTAGTTGATGGGATCCCTATTTCGATAAGCCGCTTGAAAAATCTCTCAAGGTTATATCGGCCGGAAGGGGGATGATCAACGGGATATATAGCCGAGCTACCAGTCATTGTTCGTTGCAAAGTATTGTACTTCAGCTTCAGTAGCCCGATTTTGAGCAAGTACCTCTATCCCCTTCACACATCTCTTGCCAATCACTTCCGGCCTCCGCGACCTAGTTCGTGGAAGGGAATCTTGTAGCTGAAAGTCAGGCATGGTCCCAGACTCGGCGCCAACAATGTGGTGTTAGCAGATTTCGATTCAGTTGTGATTTTTGTCGTGACGGTATCTTGTCGTTGTAGTAGTAGCAGCAGAGCAAGATCCGAGGACTTTGAAGCTACGACAAGGGCGGAAGTGGCTGGAGCTTAAGGACGACAAGAAGGAAGAGGAGAATACAATAATACTTGAGAGCGCAATCATCAATATTGGTGGTCAAATATGAAGATCTCTGATCATTCCGATCTTGAAGTCGCGATTCGGCCTCTGTGACAGACACTACGACGGCGATGTCGTTTGAATGTCAATATTGACTCGCTTCTCGGTAAACGTTCCAATGGTGATTACCAAGAAGGGGCCGCCAAAGTTTTCGCATCGGTGCTGATCCGGTATTAATGCAAGCAAGCTATCTATCAGCAGCTAGAACAGATGCTGTCTGCTGGCTTGAAGGGCTTTCGACTTAACGATCTGAAGAATTCACATCTCTCGACATGCAGATTCATGCCGTTCTCATGCCGTTTTCACGTCTAGGTAGTCGGGACAGAACAATTGATGAGCTACCCTCTGGGAACGGAGCGAACGAAGCCGGCCTCGTATCACCTAGCTACCCAAGCCGAGGTATGACGATATCGATAGAGTGCATATATTACCCTCCGGCCGGCAATTTGCGCCCCCAGAGGCTATTAAGATTGAAGAAGCCTGAAAGAGCTAGGATTTTGAGCTTGGCCAGATTATTCTCCATCCCACCTCACCACGTCTCTTCCGCTTGAAGATCCTCCCTCCTGTTTCCGTGTGTCGTTCGTCTTTTTTTGCATGACGTACCAGCATAGAGAAGAAGGAAGTTTGCGAGTCGGTCATTTAAAAATCATTTCGTCCCCGTATCCTCTGATGCACAAATCATCAGCTGTCCCGGGAACACCTCTGCAGTGGGACACATCCACAGCGCGTTGGATGCCCGATGGTGGGGGTGTAGTGGGGGCGATTTGAAGAGTTCTGGGTCGCTTTAAGGCTTTTCAGCGTGTTCAGCTGTGGGTGCTGTATGGTTATGCCCCACTTTTACTATATCGGATGGCGCTTGGGGCAAGCGAGTTGGAGGGGGCCTTGTGTTTTGTTTCGGGTCGCGGGAATGAGCTTGTGATTATATATCCTTCGATTTTCCATTCCTCGGAATCTGTAAACGTTTGCTAAGGATCATCTTCATGTTTCGACTGTCAAATTAGAATCTCTCAAAATCAATCGAACTGAGTTGCGCAAAGAACATCGAAATATAGGAAGATATTCCCGTGCCACCGCAGACGCAGACAGATACATAGAGAGCTATCATGGCGAGAGCAGCAGAGGCAGTAAGCAGGCCTCATTCTCCAATCTTCTTTCACAGTAGAAGCCCCACTAAAAATCAACCAGACCGAGAGCGTTCGCGTCGAAAGAGCCACAGCAGTCGCGGCTAGCGTCACGAAAAACGCAACCGCCGAGTTCAAGGCCCTCGACAGCCGCACCGCTAAGGAAGTCGTGCCAGCCGCTAACGATACCACCGAGAACCATCTGAACAAGACGAAGCGAGCTGCAGATTTTGCATTTAACGGGTTCCCGAAGGGTGCTGGGGACATGGTAGACACTGTGAAGCAGCATCCCGAGATAACTGCTCAGTACGTTTCCCTTTTCGACAAGCTTTTCTATCAGTCGAACTTGGATCCAGGAAATATTAACATAGATAATAGGAAAGCACCAGCTGTAGCTGTTGGCGTCGGACCTTTCGTCCAATCCGAGCTCATTGCCGGCGAAGTCGCGATCCTGGGCAAGATGGCTGCGAACAGCTCAAAGAAGACCGTTACACAAATCTCTTCAAATGAGGGCGAGAAAATCTTCAATGCTAATTGGAAGGACTTTTCCAATGATGCGAAAGCTGAGGTAAAGAACGATAAGATACAGGCTGCCGAGAACGCGAAGGGTAATGGAAAAGAGCCTGCCAAGTCTGACGCCACGACAGTCTCAGCTGAGATCAAGGCTGCGGAGCCAACAAGGGTTGAAGGCGAGTTCAAGAGGGGTAATATCTTATCAATGGGAGTTCAGGCTCCGGTGTGCAAAAGTGGAGAGGGGAGCAAGCAGGTCAAGGGTGAAGAGGCTACGCCGGTGTCCTTGAGGATCCCGATTGGCGCCGATGGAGATATCAAGGCTGTATCTAAGTTTGTTGATGAAACCAAGGCGGAAGAGAAGTCGACTGTGGTATGTTGCTCAGTGAGTTCTTGAGACTCTGAAGACTAACAGATCTTCAGGTTTTCAATAATAGGACGGACGGTCCTATTGTAAGTTGTTACGGGTGAAGCTGGATACACAATTATTGACTGTTTGTAGGTTCCAGATACGAGAACGGCACCTGTTGCTGTCAAGGCAGCCGTCTCGGCAACTACAAGCAAAGAAGTCCCCCAGCCGGTGGTCCAGAAAGCCCCCGAAGCTGCAAAGAAATTGCCGGAATTCCCGGGGTCCGCTGAATCTCAGAAACCCGATGTCAAGTCTGAGAAGGTGGGAGAGAAGAAGACGACAAAGCCAATTGACCTATCGGCAAAATCAGACAGTATAACGGCCAAGATCGAGAAGAAAGAGACTATTATCCCACCGGCATCTGTCGTCAAGGAAAGCGATAGCGATATCCCGATTTTCAAAGAAGCCACCACTCCAGCTCAAGTACGGAAAGCCGTGTTGTCGCCAGCTACTTCTCAGGAAGAGCCGAAGCCAAAGGAAGCGTCTGCTGCATCAAAGCCCTTCAAATTCGAGGAGAAGAAGATTCCAGATTCCGAGATTGAAAGCCCAAAGGCTAGCAATACTAACGAGACGATCATTGACAGCAACAGCAATAGCAGACCTGAGCCAGCACCCATCATGCCTGCCAAAAATTCCGATCAAGCACAAAGCGTGACTTCCCCGATTTCCGATGAACACGTGACGGATCACATTGTAAGCGAGCTCTTGCAAAGCCCCAGTGTCATGCCTCAAGCGAACTTCGTCGAGCCTGAAACTACTCAAGCAACCTCGTCCGCTTCACTTGCATCGGTCACTAACACAGACAAGAGCATTACCAAGACCGAGGCACTTGAGCAGCCCGCCATCTCTGATATGACGACAATCAGCCGAGAGAGCCTGGATCATTTACACTCAAGTAAGCTATCCCGCTTGATGCTTTGATAGAAAAATGCTAATTACGACTAGAAATCGACGCCCTTCAAGAAGCCGTCCAGCTGATCACCAAGAAGCTGACTACAAACCTTCCACCTCCCACTGGAGAGCCTACAAAGCAAGCCATCGTCGAGCTATCATCCGCTACAGACGCCGTCAGCGAGCAAGTTCAAAAGCCATCCTCTTCTCAAGAATCCGAAGTTCTCGCCGCCGAGCCAGCACAAGCAAACCCCTCCACCGGCGCCGAAGCTGCATCGACGGAGACTCCAGCAGCTTCCGCCAAGAAACCAGGACACGCCAAGCGCAAGAGCGTAATCGTCACCCTCGGTAGCTACCTTTGGCCATTTGGTACCGCCACGCCAAAGGGTGCAGATGCGAAGGCTAGCACAGCTGAGGGTAGTCCTGCTGGGCCTTCCGTTGAAATTTCCAAGAAGGATACCACCACCTCGGCCCCAGGCGCCAAGGATAGTGCGGCGTCGTTGAGTGATATCCCTACGCCGCATATTGGCGCTGCCTAGACATTTTGGACTCAACAGGGGATGACATATTCGTTATGTATTATACTATAATCGAATTTTTTTAAGAGGGGCTTTTCTTTCAAGACGTTCATTTGTGACCGTGCTGGCGGCAATGATAGAGGTCCGATTGCTTTGCCACAAATTGTAGGTGTTGTGTGTGGTTTGGCAACGGATTGAGATGGTGGTCAGCAGGAATGGTCATCTGTACTAGCAGCTAGAACGTTCTCGGGTTCCACTATTGGAGTAAGAGGTGCCGAATCGCAAGCTAGTCGTGAAGGACGCGGCGTAGATTCTCGGAAACAATAGACGGATTTCGGAGCCGATTTAAGGTACTGAGGTATCCTAAATATACCCAGATTCAATGCCACAGCTAAGAGCTTAGTAGGGTGGATTGTTTTAGCAGATGACGATTATTGGCCTGCCTATCGACCTGCTTAGGCCAATGATTGATTGCCTTTGGATCGAGGCCAACTCTGTGCCCTGGCCCCTGACCTAATATAGAGATGCATTTCCTTGACAATCATCGAATCCGCAGTGAAGTTGCAATCTCTCCAAGTTTCACAAAAATGACCCTTCGTCGAGGCCTCCCCTCGAAATACTGATTTAAAAGATCCCATCACCTTGAGGCGGGAATAGCAGGCAGAGAGCTCTCGCGCAACTAAGAACCTAGCTTTCAAACTGGTTTCTTCCGTATAAGAGAAGACAAAACGGTCCTCGAAGACCCTCAAGCATTCAGCGAGAACTTTAAATTAGTAACCAAACACTCAATTAAGTATCCCGCTTTATCCCGAGACATCTGTCAAGCATTCCGAATAAAACTGCTGAACCTAAAAGAACCCAAGCCACCAAGAGCGAGCCCCAAGACCTCTACAGCACAGCCTTTACACTTACTTCAGAATCGGCAACCGCATCGGGCCAGCACCCACCCTCTCTTTACCTAGATGCAGTTCGGACATACTTCAACAGATCTACCAGCGCCCAAGCCCGCTATGACGCTGCATGAAAGTGAAAGTATTCCGTTTGCGGCTCTCTCCGAGAAAAGCCCACCAAGACCAGACGTCGGTGCGCCCCAAGAAGCGGCACCGCATCCTCAGAAGGACCCAGGCTGGTCGTCCCAGGGATGGATCAAGGCCCGCCGTGCGCCTCAGGCCCAAGAGTCTTCTCGAAAACGAGTCACCACTGTGCGACATCAAAACCTCGTTCTACTATACTGTATTACCCGGTGACCGAACGCCGAACGACCCACCCCAGATTCCTCTCTCTCTCTCTC